AAAAACGATGAATGAAATCAAAGCAAAAACGAGAAATGGTAAATATAGACAGTGTGCTCGATTGTGCCATTGCTTCTAATGCTGCCCAATATTATAACTTTGGGTGCTTTAAATTTTATTCATTTGTTTAGCAATGTCTGGTAACCAAATAAGCTAGTTTATAGCTTATTTGGTTAACTTATAAGCTTCTTGTATTCATATAAGATTTGTTTAGTACGACGAGCTTTTTTAAAGAGCTCGAGCTTATCTCAAAAGCTTCTTTGGTAGTTTTTCAAATAAAGCTTGTTGAAATTTTTATTTCAGCTAATTTTATCAAACATTTTTATCTAGCTTTTCAATTATAAGATATCTAGCTTATAACCTATAAGCCCAAACATAGTCTTATTTTACACAAATTGCATTTGCCACGAGCTTTTGGAGATCTTACAAAAGATTACCAGCCAAAAGAGATCGGGTGAAATTTAAGATAGCCCGCATGCGTTACTAAGGGGAGGCTTCTATATTACTAGTGATCTTTTGGTAACAATTTTGACGATTTTTTTATTAATAACTACAAGAGTCACAAACGCCTGCTTACTTTCTTTGTTGGGAACTAAAATCCATCACTATTTTCTTAAGAGATAAATCTACTCAAATTACTAAAATTCGACGAAGAAATCACATAAGGTAGCAACATTACTTACAGACAGATACCACGGTTTCGAATATGCCTCTGCAAAGGCCTAAATATTTAAAATAAAATGACGAGCTTTCTTCAATTACTAAAGATGATCTTAGGAAGACCACAGTCATCAATTTTCTATGACTTATGATGTCACAAGTACGCATTAAAATCATCACATATCCCAAGTGAACGGGAAATTCTGGTTCGACCTATGCTTGGAGCTTTAAAAACCACATAATGCTGGCTAACGAAGAATATGATTTAGGTTGGTTTTTAAGATTTATAATGTCGCTTTATTTCTTTTTGCATAAAACAGCTTCAAAAGTTGTATGAATTTATCTGGAAGAAAAAAAAAAAGGAAAGTCTCGTTATTCGTCAAATCAACATATTATCGGCAAAAGCAAGAAATCTTATTGTCCAGAATAAAATTCCAATCACTTCCCTGAGTAAATACCATATCAGTACATCACAAGTTGAAGAAAGACACTTCCTCATGACAGCATAACTAGCGTAGTGAATTAAAACCCGAGTAAAAAATGTCAATATATTACCAACTTTTATCACTTATTGGTTTTGGTTTATAATGAATAGCTCATATATGTTCAATAAATTGATACTACATGAAAAGAGTAAATGCACGGCATAAAACTGAATGAACAGCAAACAACTTATATAGTTTTTGAGACAGAATTAAATAGAGATCAGTAGGTATTTCAACTATTAATTCATCTGATATACTGATGAATCAATTACTATTTTGAGCTTCATAAAAGATCCTGAATTTTGACAGAAAAAATGGTTTTCCAAGCAAACCTTGGGATTTTGAAGAAGAAAAAAAACTCGGAAATGAACTGTAAATAAGATGTAAATCAAGTTTACCTCCTGCTCCAAAGTAACCACGTTCAATCGTGTATATTGCAGTCATTACTAAAAGGTTCAAATGCCCAAAATCCACTGAGATTAAAGTGAAAATGGACTAATGAAAAAATACCACACACAACCATATATATTAATAAAAAAAAAACATCAAACATAAAATCCAACGGACATTCAATAAGCAAAAACGGGTGCTCAACAAGCAAATTACCTGGCTCGGAATTTGCCTGCCGTAGAAAACTGATGAAGGCGAAAAACCGGGCTGATAAGAAGGCAAGGAGTGAATATAAATCGAATAAAGATTCTCATTCCCCTTGAAGAATTTCTCCCACAAAGGCGCCAAAGGCAACGGCCCCCTCGTCAAGAACATGAAAGCAATCTTGGGAGTTCTCTTGAAAGGGTAAGTTTTTATACGGGGCACAAATGAAGCCCGCCAAAAAAGTTCGGTGTCGTTCATATGATGCATTAACTTCGAAGGAGGTTTAATCCAACTCTCTAAAGTTTTTGGTTCTTGAGCACAAGGTTCGAATCTAGACTGAATTATGGCGATTTCGCTCGGTACCTTGAGATACCGACTAGCGTAAAAACTGAGAAAGGAAAACAATATGGCTAATCCCAATAACAGCAAGAGAAATTGAAGTAATCTTAGTGGGAAAGGCCTGTTTGGTTGGTTTATGGTTCTAACAATAGGTTCTTTGCATTCTTCGAGCGTACTAAAACTCCCCGCTCTTTGCTGCATCTTTAATTCAAGCCCAAATTCAATGCAAATGGCTTTCTTCTTCGCAGAAATCAGTCCTAATTGCAAGAAACACAAAATCAGAAGATGGATAATTTTTAAGTTCTTCATGACATCAACTTTTTTTTCACAAGAATGAGTAAAAAAAAAAGGAAATGGGCTTTAAAGATTTGAACTTTTTTCTCCTACACTATCCAGAAATGGCCAAAATTTATGACATGAGCTTTCAGGACAACAAACGGTGAAACCCTTATCTTAAAAATCAAATAAAAGAAGTAAAGATAAGCTGTTTGCTATTACATTATAATTACTTACACAAATGAGAAGCTCTGGACATGAAACTGCACTTCCAAAAAAAACCTCAGCTTTTTGTGCAAACAAATCTCAGACCTTCTTTTGCAGCTGATTTTCACAGACGCAGTGGTTGATAAATGAGTAACGCTTTTAAGGAAGGTGAAAATAAAAAGAAAAAAAAAAGCGTAATAATTTCGAGCTTAAACGACAATGGAGAGTGAGATGTTCTGTTTCGTCATTATGTGGGCTCGCAATAAATTTCGCAAAAAATGAATGCAGTCAATGAATTCACAAAATGGTAACAACAACAACAACAACAACAACAACAACAATTATGAATTTATCAGAAAAAGTTTGAAATAAAAATACAAGAAACGCTTCGAGTTGGGAAAGTGAAACTGATCTTCTTGATTCTAATATGCATCACAATGGATCTTGCCCAAAAAAACGATTAAAGTCTGCGCCTTTCAACAATGAAATGCAGCATTAATGGGGTGTTTGCACGCTGAATTCATTTAAAAAAAAAAAGTGTTCTTGATGAAGGGATTGAGAAATGTCCGAGAGTTTGGGGGAGAATTGAATGAGCGTGTGGAACAACCTAGGAAATGTTTGACGTGTGTGTGTGTGTGTGTGTGTGTCGAAATCTCGGGTTTAGGTACAAAGATTGCGTTTGTTTGATTTTTTTCATTAAATTTGTAAATGCTAGTGACAAACATGGTAAGGTGTGTATATGATTCATTTTTGTGAGCTACATAACATAAACTCAATCCAAATTCCTTAATAAATTTCTTTTATTTTTGCTCTGATACCATGTTAGAATGGGGGAAGAGAGTGCGGTCCCACTAGATGAAGCGCACCATAAGAGGGTGAGTCTAGGTGCACTATAGTGAGGTTCCATCCCAAAACCAATTGGTGATGGGAGGAGTAGCCCACTAGGCTTATATACTAGACTCATTTTCCCTATATAATCAATGTGGGACAACTCACAAGTGATATTCCAACACGCCCCCTCACTTGTGAGTCCTTCGTAAGTCCAAGCCCACATCGCAAGCCGGATAGAGAGATAAGCCCAAACCCAGAGCAGGCCGGGTACAGAGAGTCATTGCAGGTCCTAGGACAGGCCGGCTCTGATACCATGTTAATGTTATCTGTGTAACAGATTTGATCAAGATCAAGAGCACGAGAGAGAGAGAGATAGAGAGAGAAAAGGAAAATTGTATTGCATAATCTGAGAATGAAAAAGTTCAAGTGTACAGTGTTAACCTTAGGTATTTATACCTAGGGTTTCCTTATAACAAAGGTGTAATACCATTCCTATACAAAAAGTGCTAATACTATAAAGAAAAACGTGTTACAAAAATATAATGAATAAAATACATATTCTAACAATAAATGAGCTGCATGTGAGTTCAATAAAGCTCGAATTCAACTCGTTAAAGGATTAGGTTCTACGATGTTCCTTGATACTAAAAAATAATAGTATTTTGTGTAGTACTTTGTGATTTGACTTGTTAAGGCTCGAGTTGAACTCGACTCGTTGATATTGATAAATGAGCTGAGTTGTCGCTCGATTACCGGTGGACTCGGCTCAAACTCGAGTTTGGTTTGGCTCGTTTACACCACTAGAGATAATTTATTAGTTTATGTGGTGCGAAATATTTAAACAATGATCCGTCTGAAAAAAATATTCCGTCATAAGGTCACATGAAAAATCATATTGGTGTGCAAAAGACCTCTATCCGGCTTGCAAGACCTGGATCTATATTTCGATATGTTAGTAGACCTGCAAAATGGGTTGAGAGAGGTTCCCGGCATTAGCACTCTGACAATCAAGTCAGTCCACAGTGTACATGATCGAATACTAAAATACATATATGTATGTGTACATGATCGAATACTAAATAATATTAATTTATTAATTAATATCAATTCAAAAAAAAAAACATTGTAAAAGCATGGGTACAATTAAGTCAAATCTCACAACATATTTATTTATGAAATAATTTTCTTATGTCTAAATTCTAATCAAACTAGTCAACGAACTTACTTTTGAGAATTGCTACACTCTCGTTACGGACCATCCGTGGGGATTCGTAACCGTTCGATCATCATGTAACTATCGTGGATAGTTGATCTAGTGGTTACAAACCTCGCCAAAATGGTTCTATAACGGGACCGTATAATCTTTCCTTACTTTTATGGATTTGGATCTGATTTCATATATACCTTTTAGAAATTCCTGTCATTTTAGAAAAAGGAAAGGTAGAAAAGTTCATATACGTACAATATATTTGAATTGATTATATTATCACGAGGCCTTTTGGGTTTAGGACCACAATTAAAATCTAAAAGTAAAGCGTAACAAGTCAAAGTAGCCCACAGTGTCAACCTATATGGGCCTATAGCTCTATGGGCCAACTTGATTGTTAAATATTTTATGTTTGGTCTTGAAACTCATTGATGGGTTTTATTATTCTAAAAAAGTCCTAAACTTGTTAAAAAGTTAATGATGAGCTATGCTAAAAAAACATAAAAAAATATTTAGCATAATTACATTATTTTATTTATTACATCCATCATTTTTTAAAATTAAAGAGCATCAAACTAACACAATTTTACATCATACTTTTAAAACAGACTGAAGTTGTTAAACGAAACTAGTTGCTTATGACCGAGCGCAACTCATCTTGTTTGACAATGAACTCGAATCCAAACTCATTTAAAGTTTGTGTCATTAACAAAATATAAACTTTTATATAAATGTTCTATTAAGGCTCGAGCCTAGCTTGTTAGTGTTGATACATGAATCGACTTGATAAATGCTCGAGTTCGAGTATCAAGAGCTCGATTTTGGCTCCAGTCATTTACACACATGGTTAGAATCATGTAACATTTATTTATGAACAATGAATAATGATAACAAATTCCGTTTTTATTTCATTTTTTATCATTTCCTTTCTTCTCGTATTAGTGAAAAAATATTGCAAAATAACCTATTAGTGATTAGGATAATATGGGAATATTAATAGCATCTTTAGCAAGACTGATAGTTAACATGTATAGAAATTAATAATAAAAATAAAAAACAACTATTCGTGAACGGTGGAAGTTCTTATAGTTGCAATTAAAAAAAAATTATAAATATATAAATTAAAAAGGGATTATATATAAATGGCTCGTAATTTTCTCAACTATTTAAGATTATGTTCGGTACAAATAAGCTAGCTTATTATTTCTTTGGATACCTTATAAACTATCTGTATTCAAATAAGTTTCGTTTGGTAGGACGAACTCGGGCTTATCATATAAGTTTATTGGGATAATTTTTTAAATAAGCTCGTTGAAATTTTTATTTCAATGAATTTATCAACTAACTTAACCAAATACTTTTATAAGTTATACGCAAGCTTATCACTATTAGCTAGTGTTATCAATATTGCCCAAATCTCAAAAAGCTCTTGGCAATGAACAAGACATTTGAAACAATGTGGAGGCCCACTGGATAAGTGGGGCTAAAAGTTTCTGATCGTTCGACAATTGACATAGCAATAGTGTTGGGCTCGTGGGCCATTGGGCCTCATGGGTCTATAAAATGACCGCAGAAATTATTTTATCATTTTATTTTATTTTTTTTTAATATTTTGGGGGGAACCAACACTGATCATTGGTTACTACACCCACTCATGAGCCCATGTGTGCATTTATGAATGGTACAATCAATTCATTCATAACTGAATTGATTATTCACTAGTAATTATGATTTTTTTGTTCACATATCCCCTATATATTAATGAGTAATGCTAAGTGTATATAATAAATGTACATAGAGTTGTACATAACATTTATATGTAGTGGGGTTTATTTAATTTTTAATTTTGGGTGGCTCTCATTTCATGTGAGTGTTATGTACACCCTTATGTATAATATTATGTACATATAGCATTATTCTATATTAATTTTTTAACTAATTCATTAATTCAGAATGCGCGAGCTTACGTGGCTGCTTTTGGTGCTTCAGAATTCTATGTGGCAAAATTATATGATTCGTTATTAGGCTTGAGTAAATTTCAATTTAATTCCAAACTAAAAATAACTAGGTTCGGATTACCATAAATATGTTGATTATTTATGGTCATGTTACATGTATTAATTGCATTTTAATGTCATTCCTCATTATAACTATTGAATTGTATATATATTTTAAAAGTTAATAACTTTTGTATTTTTTATCAGTTTTACATATGTAATATATCAAATTAATCTTCTTTTGATGAATTTCGATTTAACATCCATATTGTATGTATAAAAAAATAATTTATATTTATCCTTATAATAATAATAAAATTATTTTTAATATTAATTATAAAAAATAAAATTATTTATCAACTAATATATTTATATTTCAAGTAGTTATATGATATAAGTTATAAAAACTA